CTAAGACGCCAATGAACAAAACTCCACGTATCATAGCGCTGATGCACTAAGACATGAAGTTGAGTATGCCTGTTACACTTAAAAGTGCTACCAAACACACTCATTATCCCAATTCGAAAGATAGACGACGCATCGCTATGCGCTACGACGTCGCCCACAAACGGTATGGGTGTGCGATGTCCACGGAAAAGCCGTATTGCTACAACAAACCCGCTTACCACCGGCACTAAGATTGTTGTTATATAAAACTGCACCAACGTATCGTAGTAGTACGCTTCTAAGACGCCAGTGGATAAAACTCCACTTATCATAGCGCTAATGCTCTAAGACATGAAGTTGAGTATGCCTGTTACACTTAAAAGTGCTACCAAACACACTCATCCCAATCCGAAAGATAGACGACACATCGCTATGGGCAACGACGTCGCCCACAAACGGTATGGGTGTGCGATGTCCACGGGAAAGCCGTATTGCTACAACAAACCCGCTTACCACCAGCACTAAGATGTTAATTGTATACCTCCATCGACCAGAACCACAAGAATGCGTCGAATCAGGCGCAGCACACCCGCAGATCCATCACAAGACGCAATACCGCAAGTAGCAGTAAGCATCAATGCAACTATCATAAGGATGGCGCGCCCTCACAACACACCCACATGATCCCTATCGACTTTGGTAACAAAGTTTGTATTGTTGTTATATAAAAAATATCACCAACGTATCATAGTAGCACGCTACTAAGACGCCAATGAACAGAACTCCATGTATCATAGCGCTAATGCACTAAGACATGAAGTTGAGTATGCCTGTTACACTTAAAAGTGCTACCAAACACACTCATCATCCCAATCCGAAATATAGACGACGCATCGCTATGCGCTACTACGCCGCCCACAAACGGTGTGGGTGTGCGATGTCCACGGGAAAGCCGTATTGCTACAACAAACCCGCTTACCACCAGCACTAAGATGATATGTCTAGGACACATCGGTTAAAGTGTCCAAGTTTACCTCGGACCAGTTGCTCGTGAAGCAGCACACACGCCACCATAATATTCCTTTTCAAGTCCCTAATAAGGACTAGTCATTTTACTACAGTACTAGGAGCAGTCGGGCACCCAACCACTCCATACAATGCTTATGCATCAAGGAGACCTTCTATAATATTGCTTTTGTATCATAGACCTTACTTTCATAAGTCATTCATATATAGGGTTCGAACCCACAACCCTACTATTGTAATGCATATTTATCATAGAGACCTTCTATAGTATTGCTTTTGTATCATAGACCTTACTTTCATGTCATTAATATATAGGGTTCGAACCCACGACCCTACTATTGTAATGCATATTAATCATAGAGACCTTCTATAGTATTGCTTTTGTATCATAAACCTTACTTTCATAAGTCATTAATATATAGGGTTCGAACCCACGACCCCACTATTGTAATGCAAATTCATCATGGAGACCTTCTATAGCTTTTGTATCATGTGAGTTTAATATCATAAGTCCCTAATATAGAACTAGTCATTGTGCTACAGTACTTCAGGCAGTCGGGCTCCCGACCTCCCCATATATATGTACAACTGCAGGTCTGTATCTCCGGCAGCTCCTCTATACAAGTCATCTATACATGAACACCTTCCATAACTTAGGAAACTTTTCTTTTATACGTGAACTCCTTCCACAACTTAGGATATTTATTTTATACATGAACTCCTTCCACGACTTAGACAATTTTCAACAAATTTTCTAATTATCTTATAAATGTTATTTGTCTTTATTTTTATAATATTTTCCACTTGTATTTCTATTAATTATCTTATTTTAAATATTTTTTCAAGTTTTTAATAAATTTATTTATTATGGAAGACAATATTTTGCCTTTAATTTACTATGTTATTGGTCTAATGTCTGAAATGTATTTATATTAACTTTATGGTTATTAATGTAATTTTATTGTTTAATATATATATCTTTTAAGACTATTTTTGACGCCCCTTTATATTGAATTTAATTATTAATAATAATATTGGGCCGTCACACAATGAACACAAACTAAACAGCTTTACCATATAAGGAACCTATCAACATAACATCTATTTTCATGCAAAATAACTACTTTTAACAATGTTGCCTGTCTTTCTGTCTGTCTGCCTGTCCAAGCTAATCTTCTCAATTATTGCACCGATTGTAATGAAATTTGACGAACAGATAGAAGCAATACCAGCAGTGCTCTAGACTAACATTTATCCGAAAAGAGGATAAGTGTCGCTAGTATTATAACAACTCTCATGCCTACTCATAGAACTCCTACATAATTATAATGCGATGCATGCATTCAGCCGCTCTTCAGTTCAGTTAAGGAACGGGTTTGTCGTATATAGCGACGTCATTCTCATACTTGGCTCGTCCGGTATGCATATACAGATTGGTCATTCTTTATTGAAAAGGATCTTCACCTTCTCTACACTTATTACAAGAAATACAATAGCATTAAGCTGTTATTTTGCGCTGGTAGCACCACGTAAAACATTATGTTTAATGACGTAAAATGGCGTAAAGAAAATGACGGTCATTACTTGATCGCTTTTTAAAACGTTTAATGAAAAATGTAGAAATTTTTAAAGAAAAACAAAAAAAAAAAGATATTTGATGATTTGACTAATACTGCTCATGATAGCTATCATGATATGTTATGCTTTTTGAAAAAAAAAATAACAAGAAATACAAGGAATATATGAATAATATAATCCTTTAGTATGAGTGATCACTACTAAACTCACAGTTACTAAGCTGCTTCTTACAATATTTGTGCAACGTAATAAAAAAAATAGTTTCAAATAATATTGTACGTTTATTAAGTTAATACATGGGCGGGGGTTAGTCTACTCCTAACTTTTTGATTTTATAAATAGGACTAGATTAACACCTATTCTGCTCTCCTGTCCGGCGAGCAGTTTGGCGTATGGCTCTGGGGGAGAGCGCAGGTCGTGTTGATCCCCAGGGCAAGTCTGAGGAGTTCTCCTTCACGTGGTTGCCGCCTGTTATTTGGTCTGGTTCAATAGGAAACAGACAGAACAGAAACACACGGACGATCCTCTTTTTCTTTTCTTTTATCCCTCCCCCTTTACCCATCCCAACCCAATCCAAGGTGTCAAGCGTACCGTGCCGATGGATGCTTGGCTAGAGGAAGTCCAATCGCAAACGGTGCCTACCCGAGACCAGGGCGATTCGGGTAGTATTTTAGCCCTTCCCTCGGCATGCGGGGCTCTGCCGGGGGTGAACAAGTATTTACCTAGCTACTCGTGGGAACAAAATGGACGAAAACCAACATTTTGAAAAAGATATTAAATCTCCTTTAATGGAACTATCTGCAGGTTTGGAAGAGGCTCTTTTAGCCTCACCAACACTCTGCAACAGTGCGCCCCAACCTGGGACGAGCCGTGAAGTGAAGGGCACGTTTGCAGCCGAACCACAATCGGAAACGAACCAGGGAGGGGAAAAGAAAAAGTTCGCTAGGCCTTATAAGCTTAGTGGGGATGCGAGGAAAAGGTACCGAAGGCTGATAGCAGCTGAGATTGGAGCCGGCCAAGAGGCCCTCTCTCTCTGCCAGAAGCCTTTGAACGAAATTCCTCTGCCCAAGCCTTCCCCAGTTCCGAAGGCGAAAAACCGCAGTCGGTCTGAGGAAGAGTCCCCCAAAGACCAGCCCAGGAAGACTGTGAAGCTGACAACGGAGGAGAAGAGGCTCAGCTTCAGTGCCGTAGCTGGCTTCACGCGTATAGGAATTCGCAATTCGAATCCTATGAGTGTGGAACAGATGCGGCTGGTCCACCGGGCACTAACACAGGCCATCGCTAAGACGGCCTGTGGGTCGCAACCGGGAATGGGCCCAAAATTTTCCGGTTTCACACACAAGCCTAGTTGGATTCTGGTAACGTGCCAGAATAAGGCAAGCCAGGACTGGATTGTGGGTGAAATCGGAAAACTAAAGCCCGGAGCCAGAGCTCTCGGTAATACCCGAGGGCGAACTGCCTAAGCCTACGCTGGGCATTACCTACTTGCCTTTTTTTAATTTTATTTTAATTGAGGCGGCTGTGCTGTTGAGGGCACAGATTGAAGGGCTCCATACTGAGCTCTGGAGAATCCTCCACCGTAGGGACGAGGAGAATGGGGTCCTAGTAACCTTTTCTCTGGACGACCCATCGGCGGAGGATCTTAGGAAGGCAGGCGGCAGAGTCATCCTTGGCTTTAAGATGATAACTTTTAAAGTCAGGGGACGCTCTGACGCGGCAATGGAGCCCGAACCGCCCCAACCCCAACCCCAATCCCCCCAGCCCTCCACCTCTCGGGGTGAGGCTGGAACGCCACCGGTGAGAGTGACGAAGACCCAAGGCGCAGATTTCGCCTCGGTCCGACGGCCTCCGCTGGTGTCGTCCAGGCCGGGGGGGGAGGGGAGGTGGGAGCGGTTCGACGAAAGGTAAGGCGGGAGTCAAGTTCGCAGGAAAAGGACGTCCTCGTCCTCAACAGGCGGAAAAGACCCCTGCCCCTCCACGCCCATAAATGGCAAAACCCAAGGGTAAGACGAGGGTCCTCCAAGCAAATCTTCACCATGCAGCAGCTGCTTCTGCCGTGGTGGAGGTTTGCTTTGCAGAGGACAACATTGACCTCGCCCTTATACAAGAGCCTTGGGTGGCCAACGGTCAAGTTCTGGGATTGGCGGCTGCCGGTAAGATTCTTGTCAATACCAAAGGCAGTAGACCCAGAGCTTGTATAATTTATAATAAAAATATTGAACTTTTAGCTGTTCCAGAGTACTGCAATGATGACCTGGTTACAGCCTCCATAAATCTCAAGGGATGCACAGGGGCCAGAGTAATGATTTACTCAGCCTATCTTCCCGGCGAGAACGCAGATCCTACCATCGAGTTAGAGCGAGTGGCGGAGTTCGCCCGAAAACACAACGCCGAACTTGTGGTGGGTTGTGATGCTAATGCTCACCACACAGCCTGGGGAAGCACCAACATCAACGAAAGAGGTGAGTTACTTTATGATTTTCTCATCTCCAACCGCCTGGTAAGCCTAAACTTAGGTTGTACACCAACCTTTGTAACGCGTGCTAGGCAAGAAGTGTTAGACATAACCTTTGCTACCAATAACATGTCCAGGCGGATAAATGACTGGCATGTTAGTAGCGAAAACTCGATGTCTGATCACAAGCACATTAAGTTTGTGATTGGAGCATCACCATCCTTTGAAACCGTTACTTTTAGGGATCCGAAAGCGACCTCCTGGGATATCTACAGAGATAGCCTAAGGAGGAATTTGGAAACGTTTCCTAAAAGCATCAAAACAATTGAAGGTCTGGAGTTAGCGACGGAGACAGTAACCGTAGGTATCCGTGAAGCCTTCGAGGACAGTTGTCCCGTCAAAACCAAGACCTCAACACGAAAAGTTTCTTGGTGGAATTCTAAGCTGAAAGACCTTAGGGAAAAGACCAGGAAACTATTTAATAGGGCTAAGAAAACCAAAGAGTGGGACATTTATAGTGCAGCCCTAACTGAATATAATAAAGAAATTAGGAAAGCCAAGAGAGCATCGTGGAGGAAGCTATGCGAGGAAGTTGAGTCTTTGCCTCGCAGTGCAAGACTACACAAGATGCTATCGAAAGCTAAACCTAATCAGATCGGGCTTCTTAAAAAGCCGGATGGTAACTTCACTAATAGTGAAACAGAAACATTGGAGTTACTAGCGTCAACCCATTTCCCAGGGTCAGGTAATACAAAACTTCAGCCTTGAACTCTTTCAGAGTCCTACAAAGGCCTTGCAATGAGGACTGGCGTAGGTCTGCAAAGATAATAAGGCCAAACCTGGTGCAGTGGGCTGTTGACTCCTTTGAACCATTTAAATCAAGCGGGGAGGATGGAATAATTCCCATCCAACTACAGAGGGGTATCGACATCCTTCTTCCTTATCTGGTGAAAATCTTCAGAGCAAGTTTTGCATGGGGATATATTCCAGAACGATGGACAATTGTCAAGGTTCTATTTATACCTAAGGCTGGTAGAAAGGACTACGCTTTACCAAAGTCCTTTAGACCTATAAGCCTATCTTCCTTTCTTCTTAAGACATTGGAAAAGGTTATAGATAGATATATAAGGGATGTAGCTCTAGCTACGAGGCCCATACATTACAACCAGCATGCTTACCGCAGAGGCAAATCTACGGAAACAGCCCTGATCAGTGTCATTGACAGGGTCGAAAAAGCACTGGAGGATAAAGAAATAGCTCTTTGTGCCTTTCTAGATATTGAGGGCGCCTTCGACAGTAGCCCCACATCACTGCTGATTGGGGGCCTAACATCTAAAAATGTTGACCCCACAACCATCAGATGGGTGAAGTCGATGCTCTCAAACAGAAAGGCAAAAATAGCGCTGTTTCAAACTTCGATTGAGGTTGCAACCACAAGAGGCTGCCCACAAGGAGGTGTTTTGTCACCCCTTCTTTGGACTCTTGCGGTTGACCAACTATTGTACAAAATGGCAGACCTACGCATTGACACATTGGGTTATGCTGATGACCTTGTGATCATTGCGAGGGGCTTTTGCCAAAGTACTTTATCGTCAATAATACAAAGAGCCCTAAACACCATAAATAACTGGTGTAGGGATAACAGTTTATCAGTTAATGCTGATAAAACTGTTATAATACCCTTTACCAAAAAGAGACGGTTGAACAAATTAGTCCAACCAAAACTTAATGGCGAAGAAGTACCATTTTCCACGGAAGTTAAGTACTTGGGCGTAACAATCGACCAAAAACTAACGTGGAACTCTCACCTTAGCAACGTATGCCATAAGGCAAAAATTGCTTTAGGTACGTGCAGTCGTTTGGTCGGGAACAACTGGGGCTTGCGTCCCAGTATGGTCCTATGGCTGTACAGCAGCATAGTGAGGCCGATTCTCACCTACGCCTCTATTGTCTGGTGTAACAAGGCCAACCAAAAGACGACTGCGGACAGACTAAATAGTCTACAAAGGACTGCCTGCCTAATGGCAACTGGAGCTATGCGATCATCGCCTGGAGCGGCTCTTAATGCACTTCTATGCCTAACGCCCCTTGATCTCTATCTAGACAAGGAGGCGAGGGCTAGTTTGTATAGGATTAACGCCCAGGGCGGTCTGAGCTTGCTCTCCTATAGATTGAGATCAATGCTCGACTCAATTAAAGAATCACCTGTCTTATGCATGATCTCAGATATCATGCGTCCACTATACACTTTTGATAAAAAGTATATAGTGGAATTACCCTCCAGAGAAGACTGGCTGAATGGCCAGGTTATCTGTGAGGTCGGTAGCCTCATATGGTATACCGATGGGTCTAAAATGGGCCTCGACGTAGGCTTTGGAATTTACGGGGAACGCCCCAAATTCAAATTTAGTATGAATTTGGGTAGATACACCTCTATCTTCCAGGCAGAAATTTTCGCCATACTTCGGTGTGCGGAAATCAATCTGCAAAAACACTACGTCAACCATAAAATTTACATAAACTCTGATAGTCAAGCAGCACTGCTAGCGCTGAGATCAAACTTAGTGAACTCAAAGCTAGTTGGAGACTGCGTGAACCGTTTAAACGCCCTGGGTTGTAACAACAGGGTCATTTTAAGATGGGTTCCGGGTCACGAGGGCATTGTAGGCAAAGAATTTGCCGACAAACTCGCACGGGAGGGGCTCAAAGTGCACACAATTTGGACCCGAGCCATTTTGTGGAATCTCAAGAAGCCTAGCCCGATTGACCCTTGAAACTCTTTATCACAATAAATCACTTAAGATCTGGTCTGACACACCGGGCTTAAAACATTCTAAAACCTTAATCCGGGCTTTTGATCGTAAATTCGCTTCAGAAGCCCTGGGATTAAGTAAAAATAAATTGCGCATTAGGGAAAGAGCCCTAACTGGACACTGTTCCCCAAAACGCACATGTTCATCCTAGGACTAAGTAACTCAAGGATGTGTCGGTTCTGTTCCATAACGAAAGAAACACCTCTAACATCCTAACCGATTGCGGACCCTTAATGCGCAAACGTAACACTCATCTGGGACACTATGTACTCCGCCCAGAAGAAGTGAAATTGCTCACGGGTAAGCAACTCCTTCGATTCATTGAAGACATAGGGCTTAGCAGTGAACTATAGCCATAGTAGCGATCACAATAGATCTTCTAGGTCGCAGTGATACTGGTCTCTTTACCTAGACCTGCATAGCTGCTCGCACATAAATAAAAAAAAGTTAATACATATATACGTTAATTTAGAAAAAACATAGACAATAAACTATATCTTCTTTATATACTCATAGACAAATTTAGAGGAAAGCAAAGAAAGTGTGTGTAAAACAAAATACAATTGATATTTGTAATGTTATTATGTTGGATTGTGCTAATTATTCGTTAATTTAAAATTCGAAAAATGTCAAAAAAAAAACAACGATCAAATGATAAAAATTAATGAAAATAAGAAAAATCATACAGGAAAAAAACATTTTGTACTTAATATTTCAAAAGTATATCTTTTCTTAATTTGTCTTCCAAGCCTATCCCATCCATGGTCTTGTGTTTGATGTCGGGGCGAGCGTGTTGGCCACTCCACATCATTGATTTCAACGTCTCGAAAGTATTTAACAACTATAGCCGCAGCCATCACGCGTAAAACAAATCTATCTCCTATAAAAGAGGAAAACGGCACTACAATATTTTTAAAATCCCAGTTACATATCGTGCCGCTGTTAGTAATTTATTATCAATAACGCGGAGTTCCGTACGAGCGCCCATACAAATATCTCCCCATACCATAACTCTGCATACGCTTCTTTTATAATGATGTCACACTTGACGTACTCTCACGGGCGGTTCTACACTTTAAACCTTCCATCATCATGTCTTCAGGTAAATTCAAGGTTATCTGTGAACAGAACTGGGCTCCAAACTTCGTCATAGAATTTTGTTTGCAAACAAATTTAATTCGAACTACGCGATGGAAAGTCTTAATTTATTTCGGCTGACTTCAGTATTTTTTAAATATTTTTTTTTATTAATAAGTTTGTTAGAAAAATATTTTCTATATCCTAGTATTTTCTATATCTAAGATTTTTATAGTTCTCGGCTTTGAAGGAAAATATCGCATGGAAATCTGCAGAACTGAAATTATTGTATTGTGTGAAGTCGGTCATTCTGCGTTTAGGTCTGCGCAGCGCACTCTTTTGCCACAAAATCCTCTGCGGCCCAAAGGCCGCAAACCTAGTAGTGAATTATTATTATATAGTGAGTATGCAGATTGCTACTTTTTATTTTTAATAGGAAATTTTATGGTGCAACAAATTAATACTAAATAATAAATTCCCAGAAAATGTGCAAGACCCATCTTTGAAAAAGTTATGATTTTTACTAAACAAAAATTGTTTAAAAAGGGCTATTATGCTACTAAAGAAAACATGTTTAATAATAACCCCTGGGAATGCGGTATGCTGTTTTATATGTTTGTGTTTTTGATAAATAAATTGTATATTAAATTATGTGTATTATGTCCGAAGTTCGTTCGTGAAATTTGGCGGATGCAATTATTCCAAACAATTCCTCAGAGCACTCCCCATGGTAGATGCGAAATAAAATGCAAAGGTATGCAATATCGGGCCTCGGTCGGATGTCGACGATTCGAGCCGCTCTGCGCTTGATGCGGATATGAGGAAGCCCCAGCTCAGTGGTAAATTAAAAAAATCGGTTAACCCTGCAGGCCATTCCTGGAACTTCCCGCTAATTTCAATATTAAAGATCTGCAAATTCCACTTAATCCAAAATTTTAGAAAATTACGACTTTTTTTTCAATTGAATATTTCACGAACAAGTCAACCGAATTTGATGTGATTTACGGCAATCGTAGATAAGTTTTTTCAGCTTAACAAAAAGATTATAACAGTTAAATTGATTTCGCGGAAAGTTGTTTAGAAAAAAAAAACCTTTTTCGAGATTTCTTTCGACAACAGTAACACCAGTAGCCACAGCAAAGCACTCCAAAAGCGGCTGAGCCCATAGTGATTTTGTGTATCTGTATTTAGTGAAATATGGTATATAAAGCTGCTCAAACACCGAAAATTTTAGAATTTGTCAGCTGAAAAAATTTATTATAACTAACCACATGATAGATAAAGAGATTAAAAATAGGTTGATTTAAATAATTGATATTTTCAAAAATTAGTGTTTTCCCCTCCATGCGGATTTAGTAACTTGTGGTATCGATTTACTAAATCTACATCATAAGCCACCAAAAACACTTTTTAACCTGTAGGATGCGTGTGCGTGCGCTATCTGCGTGTGCATGTGTGTGCGCTGTGTGCGTGTGCGTGTGCGTATGCGTGTGAGTGTGCGAATGCATATGCGTGTGCGTGTGCGTGCGCTATCTGCATGTGCGTGTGTATGCGCTGTGTGCGTGTGCGTGTGCGTATGCGTGTCAGTGTGCGAATGCGTATGCGTGTGCGTGTACGTATGCGTGTATTTGTGGGAATTTAGTCCGAATGGTCACATTATATTCTGAGCAAACCTCAATATATCAAGGTTTTTTAATTTTCAAAAAGAAGTTTTCATGAAGTTACTTCGACACTCTTGTTTTGATCAATTCTGTATCCTTTTTTAGGGATCGGGTGGACGAAAGCCGTCTTCCATGATTTTGGGACTATGCCTAGGGAGTAGAAGTACCGGAAAAGACGCGTTAAAACCGGTGCCAACTCTGGAGCACATGTCCTCAGCACAATTGGGGGGGATTCCGTCAGGCCCACTCGACTTGTGGATGTCCAGGGAGAGGAGTGCTTCGCGAACCGAGCGCTGTGTGAACTGCACTTCCGGCATGGAGCACTCACACCACGGGATGGTTGGCGGCGTACTCCCCCCGTCATCGAGAGTCGAGTTAGACGCAAAGAAAGAGCCTAGAAGATCGGCTTTCTCCTTTGCGGTATGGGCCAGTGAGTCGTCCTCCCTGTGCAGAGATGGAAGACGATGGCTAACGGAAATTCCCCTGGACAGCCTTGACGAGAGACCAGAATGCACGGGTTCCAGAAGGAAGGCGAACTAGTTTCTCGCCAATTCTGCCTATGTGCTCTGACTTTGCCTTGGCAATGACTCTTTTGAAGGACCTAGAAGTAGAATTATACTTCTTTTTTAGAGCGCTGGTATTTACATCCCGGGACGCTGATGCGTCAGCCCAGGCCTGGTAGCACTCCTGCTTATAGTATGATGCTATTTTACAGGTGCGACCAAACCATGGCTGAGATTTGCCTCCAATGGGCACCACAGAGGAAGGAATAAAAAGTTCCATACCCTGAAGTACCACATCAGCGACAGAATCCGCAACAACGTTGGGATCGTCCGGCGAGAAGCAAACCCGCCCCCAAGGGTAGGATGCAAAGAAATACCGCATCCCATCCCAATCGGCTGACCTATAGTGACTTTCAATAAGTATTATTATATAGTATATATTGATATTTGATCTGTGTGTGTTTCTGTTCCAGAGATGGAAAAAAGTATTCCACGTAAATCCAAACCTGCGCCTTATACAGTTGCAAACTATAAGTTCATACTACGTAGATCGGACAATAAATAATAGTTTAACTTATTTTTTTTAAATCGATTGATTGCTATTTTTATATTAAAAAAGTGTTTTTGGTGGCTTATGATGTAGATTTAGTAAATCGATACCACAAGTTACTAAATCCGCATGGAGGGGAAAACACTAATTTTTGAAAATATCAATTATTTAAATCAACCTATTTTTAATCTCTTTATCTATCATGTGGTTAGTTATAATAAATTTTTTCAGCTGACAAATTCTGAAATTTTCGGTGTTTGAGCAGCTTTATATACCATATTTCACTAAATACAGATACACAAAATCACTATGGGCTCAGCCGCTTTTGTGAGTGAGTTACTGTATAATTTCATTACAGCGGCTCGTGATAAAAATATCAATCGCTGTAGAAATACAAACTATTCCAAAAACCAAATTTGATACAATACTTGACCAAGATAAGATATTATTGTTATTTTTATAATCGCAGATTTTCATTACAATATATTGTTTCGCTAAAAGTATGTACGATTTATATATAAATATACTTATACTTCTTGGACTTTATGGAGTGAACTGAAGGTGTACTACGGTATGTGCTACTAGAACTCCTCGAAGAGTAGAACAAGGACTTCATAGAGTGACCAGAAAGTGTGCTTTGTCGAATGCTAAATTAAAATCCTGGTTAAGACTAGATGAAACACTTTTTGAAAACGAAATAAAGTTGATGAGAAAAAAAATTGTAAACGAGTCAGGTAAAAAAAAAACTAGTTTCTACGATAATTCCTGAGTACAAACACGATTTCTGATCGTTTTAAGATATTTTTGTAAAAAGTTTTTCAATTAACAATAATAAAATTTATTTTGAAACCCTTAAATACACCCTAATAACACCCTAATAACCCTTAATAGTATATAGTAAAATTAGAAAAAATAATTTTCTATTGTTGATTGAGAATGTGTTTTTTAACATTTTTATTCACAATCATATGAGAAATGAGTCGTGCATGTGGCGTTTGACATAAAATTATCGAAAAATTAGAAATAATAGTAATAAGGTTGTTTGTGAAAACTTCTTTGGATTTGGATTTACCAAAAGTTTTTTTATCTGAAGGTAGCCTTGGTTAACTATGACATTGGGACTTCGAGCACCTCAGTCCCTCTTGTGACCATAGATAATATACTATATAGGGCCCTCGCGACTGCTGTAAAGTGCTCGAAAAGTCAAGTAAAAACTAGTTTTATATATATTTATTACATTTAGGTCCGAGCAAACTTAAAAAATCTTTTGATAATTATCTTTCCTGTTATATCTTAACAAGTTCTAATCAGACACGTACTTATAGTATAAATCATTGTTATTTTCGTAATTTTAGTTTTGAAAATGTTTTAATGGATAATGAAATATTTTACTATAAATGGTTCTTTTAATTTGTTTGGAATATCATTGTGACTTGGCTTAAAGTAGAAGAAACAAACATGTTGTCTCGTGCCGTTCTGCTTGCGTGCGTTCAAATAGAATTATTTCAGGTGAGGTTGAATTATAACTTATTTCATATATTGTGACTATTGATATGATATTTTGATTGAAGTCGATGTAAGAGGTATTTTTTATTGGATGACATCCGTAAAAATTGTTATTAATTTTATATTAAAAGTATTAAGGTATCGAATCTGTGTTTAACTAACCAACTGTTTGTGGTTGAGAGTAGGCAAAATTGTCATTAATTTTTAAAGAGGAATAGCTAAATAATTTAACAGCGTCTTTATTTCTCTCCGATTACAATATGTGTTCCTTCAAGACAAGAGTGTATAGTATAGGGTTTTATAACGCTAAAATAGTACGACATCTAGCGCTGCATCATCGCTTACCAATAGGTGATTAAACCAAATATGGTATACGAAAAGATAATAATAAAGAAATGATTAGTGATCTAAAATTTTACAGCTCCGTAACACAGTGGCACTAGGATGTGTCGCTACAGAGCCGCGGCTTCGAATCCCACATACTAGAAGTATTTGTACCGTTTACAATTAATTGTTTCGGGTCTAGATGTATATTTTCATACAATGCATGCGTGAAAACTATCTACATGATACAAAAGAAAGTCCTACTGTCGGGGTAACGTTTAAGAAGAAGAACGAGAAGAGAAAAGCGATCTATACAAAATTAAACCTAAATTTGTTTGCCCGCTCTTAGGTTTTAGACATTCTAATTCTTTAGTCAAACTTTTCATGTATTCTTTTCATTATTTCAGATCATTGCAGGTCAGTGCCTAGGCAATGGACTTAATAGCAATTTGTTAACGCCGGGCCAAGTAGCTACTGAGGGTATGGGTTGGGGAGGTGCAGGATTTGGATACGGAGCCCCATTTGTTGCTCCTTACGCACCAGCTCCCTTGATTGCTTCCGAATGGACACCTTTAGGACCAGCTACAGTTCCTTCATCGAATGGTGGTGGTTTCATTGTAAGAAGTTCCTCCCCTATCCCGCCTATCGGTGTCTCTGTTATCTCGGACAATGAGTACGCAGGTCCTCTAGTCGTTGATGGACAGCTACCATTCTTAGGTACTGTCGGGTTGGAGGGGGCTCTTTTAAGTACAGGATCGGGAACTGTTTCATACGGTTGCGGTAATGGTAACGTTGGAATTGTGAGTGAGAACATTCTCCCCTCAGCAGCAGAAATAGGATACGGTAATGGTTTAACTCCTGGTTTTGGATTTGGTCCTGGTTTTGCTACACCCACCTATGGATATGGACCGGGAAATTTTGTTCTAAACGGCCTCAATAAATGTGAGGGTGTACAAGGTGCTTAAAATATTTCTGTTAAATTATTTTAGTAAAGTATTGTTATTTATGTCCATGTTTTTCCTTTTAATTCTCATTCCCTGTTTGTAATATAATTTCAATAAATATTATTTATAATATAGATTATAAATAATACCTATTAAAGTCACAATTTTGCCTAATTATCACAGGTTTGAAAGAAAAAACCTCTTTTCTAGGAAGAACCAGCAAGAAACCCAATGGGACTTTTTAAATAACAGCTTTCAATCATGTATATTATAAAATAAAAAAACACCAAACAAATTAGAAATAGCTTGATAACGATCATCTCATTCCCAGAGGTTATCATCATTACGTAAAACTTACTTTATCCCAATCAAACTAACAATATCAGTGCATAAATAACATAAGAGCCGTCGTCATTCGTCAATATCACGTCAAGAATTAAAAATAAGTAATGCGTTATGAGCCGTGTAGATCAGGGCTATAGGACTAAAACCTTGCTGTAAATTTCACAATACACGAGCAAACCGAATTCGATACCCGCCGGCAACAATGAAATTGTTAATTTTATCACATGCTCGGCGGTAAAGGAAAACGTTCTGATGAAACGTACGCGGACATTCCCTTGCCCTAAAACCTTTTCAGAAATGAGAGGAGGCCTATGCCCAACTGTGGGACGTATAAAGGTTGTAACTTTAATTTTAACTTTTAGTACATTATAATTACAGGCATTGCAATTTCATCATCAGAAGTGATGCATCTATAGCCTTTTTTATTTGAAGTTGCTCTACCTTCTATCTTTTTAATAGTACTGAGATTCAATTGTGTTCCACTGTGAAGGATCTAGGTTTATTAATTGATTCTACTTTGAGTTGGAAAGCCCAAACAACGACCGTTATCCAGAAAGTCACTGGTACCCTGCGTTCTCTCTATCGCCTAAAAATTTTCTGCCATCTGAAATTAAGACAATGCTTGTGCAGAGTTTAATTTTCCCCCTAATCGACTATGGTGATGTGTGTTATTTCGACCTGAATGCAGATCTTCTCAACAAATATGACCGTCTTCTGAATAACTGCATTCGATTCATTTTCGATCTTCGAAAGTATGACCATGTATCCACGTATCGATCTCAATTAAAATGGTTACCTATTCGTCAACGCCGTTGTTTGCGTGCACTCACCACCCTTTATTCTATCCTGATGTTTCCAATTTCCCCTTCCTACTCATCTCCTTACTTTCAGTTGCTTAGTGCTAGTCATGAGAGAAACCTCCGCTCTACAAACAACCTCTTCTCCTATGTCCCTCCCATAGCTCTGGACTTGTTCATTCTTCTTTCCACATTCAAACTATTCTCCTTTGGAACGCACTCCCTCTCGAAATCGGGATGGCTAGCAATCGGTACGCGTTCAAGATGCAGAGCAGTAGCCATTTACCACATACTGGCCCGTAAATTCATTTTTCACTTCAGTTTTACTAAAAAAATTCTTGTCGTACTATTGTATTATTGGAAAGTTCTGTATCCAGCGGTGGACTAAAAAGGCTGCTGAAGTAATGTAAAAAAAACGAAAATTATTTTCATTGTTTTTATTAAGTTATAAACACATATTTTTCATTAACATTCACAGGACTTGATGCAATTATCACTTACTTAATTAGAACATACAAAAATATGACGTAATATATCCTTAATTACATTTCGTTTATATTTCTTAGACCGATGTCATGGATTATTATGGCTATCCCACAAATGTTTCTGGTCAACTTGGAAAAGACCATGCTCGCATAGAATATTCAGTGTAAAATAGTAGCATATTGCTTACTTATATTCAGATTGGCGAGAATCGGAGACCCTTTTTACTCGTGACGAGGCATATCTTAGTTATCATAAGTGACAATTATCTGAATTTTGAGTCTCAAGGGTGTCGCCATACCAATCGATTTAATAGTTAGTCGATATTATTGATCAACGTCTTCGGAGCTTCTGAAAGTGGTTGGAAAACCGGTACTTAAAGTTCTTCTGAAGTTCTTTAATCCGTCCTCCATGGTGACACTACTCTAGAGGCGTGGAGCAGAAGTGTTCTTCAAGAAATGCGACAACGTTCTCTTGAAGAACTACAAACCGATTTCCCTTCTGAGCCACGTATACGTACTGTTTTCGAGAGTCATTACGAATTATCTCGCACGCAGACTTGACGACTTCCAGCATTGAAATAATACTAGTTTTTACGGATTTTATCCCGTATATTTAACTATAAATACCCAACGTTTCGAGTGCTTTACATCACCCATGGTCACGGAGGGGACTGAGATGTTCAACGTCCAGATGTCATAGTTAACAGCGGTTACCATAGATAAGAATTTAACTTTTGTTCCGATCTACACAGTATGAACTTATGGTATCTTGAAGTCTTGCAGTTGTATGCTTGGGTTGGGATTTAATTTTATTTATTATAGGATCCCAAGCAGATGGTAGCACCCAGCCATCTTCTCTATTGAAATTAGGATGTTTTTTGATTTCAATAGCTTCGCGAATCTTCCTTGGAAGGAATCGGTGTTCTTTAGCCAGGATTTGTGGTCTATCAAATCTGATGTAGTGACGGGGGCGATCCTGTACGTGTTCACAGACTGCAGACTTCCCGGAGCGTCGATTCTTCACATCGGCTATATGTTCTTGAACGCGGGTTTTAATTGATCTTTTAGTTTGTTCTATGTAGAAGAGACCACATTCACAATCAAGCTTGTACACTCCTGCATCTTGCAGAGTGACAAAGCAAATTTATATGGCAGATGTGAACGGCCGAGTCTGGAAGGGACGCCCTAGAAAAAAGTTTATCGACCAAATTGGCGATATTTTGAAAAGGGGCCACGTTAGAAGTACCCTTAACCGACGAGCATGTATGCGTAGATATATGGATGTAAAGGAGGCGAAAGAGGTATGTCAGGATCGTGCCAAATGGAAGTCCGTAGTCTCTGCCTACCCCTCTGGGTGACAGGCGTGAGTGTTTATATATGTATGTATGTACTATTATGTTGTGATTTTCTATCAGTACCCATAGGGTCCATTGCAACCACAACCGCAGCCACATCTTCCAGTGATGGACACCACACCACCAGCAGGAACATCAACTGCGAACCGCACGGAACCAAGGATGGGTACCTGACCTGCGACAAGAGAAGTACCGACGACAGGCATCTCGCCACCGAAGCATTCCTTTCTTAATCCTGGTCACAACATCATCTTGCATACCACATTTATCTCTTATCACGCAATTTCTCACCTTGTCATTCAGATTCAACCCTAGCATACTCCTTAAAGACCGCATTTCTACAGCATTTATTCTACTTTCGTGGTTCTTCTGCCACACCCAGCTTTCACTACCATACATTAAAGTAGGGACTAACACAGCATTATGAATTACATTACGTGCCTTTTTTGACACATTCTGGTTCTTCACAATAGAGTGTAGTGCCCCATTCACTCCATTCCCTGCATTTACTCGTCGTTCTATATCCCTATCATATCTACCATCCCTGCTAAATACGCACCCCAAATACACAAACTCATCCACTTGCTCAATTAACTCTCCTTCTATTCTTATTTCACATACCGTTTTGCTTTCTTCTCTTTCAAAAACCATCACTTTCGTCTTGCATTCACTTTCATTCTCCTTTCTTTTAATTCCCAGTTCATTAATGTAACCATCATTTGCAACTCAGCCGCCGATGACGCAAATATGACTTGATCATCGGCATACAAAAGGCATTTGACGGTCCCATTCTTAACCCAAATTCTTCATCTTTCAAAGTTTGCAAACACCTGTCCATAAATAGGTTTCACAGCCAAGGGGAAGCTACACAGCCCTGTATGACACCTTTTTGGATGCCAAACCAGTCCGAGTAGACCCCATTGATCCTGACACAAGCACTAGAGTCCCTATAAAGAGACCTTAATGCCTGTATCAAACCAGCGCTCAACCCATATGAGTTCAGTGTTTGCCATAACACATTCCTGTCCACTCAGTCATAAGCCTTTTCCAAGTCCATAAACGCACAAAAAACTTTCTGGTTTTTGGCCAAAAACTTCTCCGCAATCATGCGCATGGAAAAGACTTGATCTGTACACCCCATTCCCTTTCTAAAACCCGCTTGCACATCCCAAATTTTTCCATCAGTTTCTTTCATAACTCTTTCAATTAACACCTTAGCATACAGTTTACCCACAATACTAAGCAAGCTGATTCCACGGTAGTTTTTGCAGTCCTGCTGTGAACCTTTTCCCTTATATATTGGTACTATAACTGCTTTACACCAGTCATCCGGTACCCGTTTTAATTCCCAACATAAATTAAACAAGGTGTACAGCAGGTCTGCCACCACTCCCTCTCCAGCCCTTAGCATCTCGAGTGATACTCTATCATGTCCAGCTGCCTTACCTGCTTTCATGCTTTTCATTGCTTTCATTATTTCATCTACACTTATCTCCATACCCCTATCCACTTCTTTCGGAATTTCTAGTTCATTTAATTCAGACGACTCTTCACTCATAAACACGCTTTCAAAGTATTCCTTTCGTCTGTTTAAATTCGAAGCTTCATCATTCAGAATACATCCATTTTCGTCTCTTATAGCATTCATTAGAGGCTGTTTTGTATTTCCCCTGGCAGTTCCTACGAATTTCCAGAACATTTTTATGTTAGCCTGGAAATTCAGATTCAGATCAGATATCCTTCTATCATTCTTATCCGTTCTTTCTTTCTTTTTCCTTTCAACAACTTCTTTTACTCTCTTATTTAGACGTCTAAATTCTGCCTTTTTCTTTCAATCTCATCATTCATACCAGAAAAATTACCAGCTTTGGTTGCTAGTAAATATAACCATGCTTTCTTCTTTGATTCAACTTCCACCCGTACCTCATCATCCCACCACAACGTATTACTTTTCCTTTCATTTGTTCTCTTACTTACACCACATACTTCGGTGGCGGCATCCACCAAACCTTTCTTAATATTATCCCACACAGTATTCAAGTCTAAATCATTCATGCACAACTCATTCAAACATCTAATATTTCCTCTCAGTCTACATTTATACTTCTCTTTCACATCTTCATCTTATAACTTCTCTATTCTTATACGCTGTAACGCAGTGGTAGACACAGATGTTCGATGCCGCCAACGCTTGAAAAGACCATTAATTCGACATAAGACCAAGTAATGATCCGTCCCTACCGGACCCCCGGTAAACCCTTGTATCTACGACTGCGCTCCTCATTCTTTCATCCACAATTACGAAATCTATCATGCTTCTATCATTACCTCTTTCCTATGTATACATGTGAATCTTCTTATGACGAAAAAAGTATCCGTCACAAAAAGATTCTTTTCCACACATACGGTGAGGAGGTCTTCACCATTCTCATTTATACTTTCATCACCAAACGTTCCCAATATCCTTTCATAACCAGACCTCTTCACCCCAACCCTTCCATTAAAGTCTCCTAACATAATAATATTTTAATTTTCCTTACATTTTGTCAACACCATCCTAACCATGTCCCAAAATTGCTCTCGGATGTAAGTGGCCTTAGACATGTCTGGGGTGTATACCCCCAGCAGGAACAGCTTCTTTAAGCCCACTTTCATGCGTATCCATAGCAGCCTCGGGCTTACACATTCATACTCTTTCACACATTGACCCATTCTTTCTGAAAGGATGAAACCGACTCCCTGGCATGCCCGTTCGGTTTTGTCTACACCAGACCAATACGCGGTATACGTGCCATTTGCAGTTGCATCCTTTCCCTTTCGTTTCGTCTCATTCACACATAACACATCTATTCCTCTGTCATTCATCATTTCGCATACTTCATCGATCTTATCATTCATTCCTCCACATACATTCAGCGTAGCCAGACGGGTTTCCGCAATCCACTTTTCGCCCCCTCCGGGAGACAGAACGTGACGGGTGGCGAACCTCGTCGCCGGTTTTTCTCCCGGAGATTCTTCGCACCCCTGCCCCATTGAAGGGGCGCCGGGAACTCGGGGCCATTTCTTTTATTTTCTGAGTCATGGTGCGAACAAGGGGTGGTGGTAGATTTTACGCCGCTACCATACGGCGAGGAGCCGATTTTTTTCGGCTTTGTCGCTCGTTTAGCACCACCCGGGGGACACGTGTAGGGTGGGCCTAAGGTTAGGTGGTCGAAGCCTACGGACGCGAGCGACTCATCCCTCAATGTTTTTTTTTTTAATAAAAGAAATATAAATATTTATTATTGTGTGTAAATATTTTATTTCCGGCACCAGATGGAATTTTAATCTTTTTTTAATATACCGGAATTTAAGTTAAGTAACAGTTTACATAAGCTAACTTAGGTAACCGCTAGGTTTGGAGTAAATAACGTTCTACTATGCTGCTCAAATGTGTTTTGCCGGATTACCAAATTGCAAAAATTTAATTATTGTATAACAAAACTCAACATTTGAAATAGAAAAATAAGAAATACGTGTGGCACTCGGTGACTGCCGCGGTAAAGCTATTGCATAGCATTTTTTATCAACTTATGCAATTATAATTATTTATTTATTTTATTTATGCAGTTAAGTCTTTGATACTAAATCAAGTTACACTTTTTGAGCGTGGTGACCGATAAGAAAACAATTTTTTTTCTCTTATTGAATAAATGAGAAGTTAATATTGTTTAAAATATTTTTAATATCTTACAATACATGTAGGTTATTCAGGAATTTTTATCATTGAGTTAGCAGCTAGTGTAAACGCATACGTCTAGTCGCACGCATACAAACACCGTGCCGAAGTCAGCCGAGTGCCGAAGTCTGCCAAACTGAAACGACGTTAGACGATGCACGGCCTTCAAGCCACTCGAGTGAGGTTTTTTTTCGTTACGGAATTTCTGGATTCGGTCCCCGCGCTCAAGGCCCGCGATAGAAGCTATGCAATAGCTTAAAAACTCATAAAGGAGAATGGGATTTTTGGGCATGAAGTTAACAAATTAGTATATACTTTAAAAAATGCTTTATTTTTCTGAATTAAAATATAAAAAACTGTCTCTTTTTGTAAAAGTAACATTACGTAACAACATAAAGTAACATTGTAGTGTAGAATTCGAAAAATCATAAAAATAAAAAATAAGTTAGATAATCGATTTGTGTTAATACAAATCGGCTTAGTATTTATTCGGATACAAAAAATAAAAATAAATTAATAACGCTTCTAAAGTTTCACTAAAATGTTGTTTTTTGCCTTGAATAATATTTAAATCCAATTGAAAGTAATATGTTTCATTTACGTTTTATATACGAGTATTACTCGAAAAAAAAGTAATAAACATTTTTATGTCAATGAATCGATTAAAATAAAGAATAGATACGCTAGTGACATTCTCGTTTCTGAACGCTACCAGACACTAAACGTGTTTTCATTTTAAAACTTGACGGTTCAAAATTCAAAAAATTCACATAATATAATAAAAATCCTATTTCTGATTCGATTTGAAACGATCAAAATATAATCGATTCTCGAATAAATCAAGCATTTTAAGATCTATTTTCGGTAGTGTTTACTCCTGAGTACAGGCCTCCGCTCATTTATAGGAGGGTTTTAGAGCAAGGAATTGTCCGCCGCGCTGCCCCACATACACACACACACACATACACACACGCACGCACGCACGCACGCACGCAGGCACGCACGCACGCACGCACGCACGCACGCACGCACACACGCACACACGCACGCACGCACGCACGCACGAACGCACGCAAGCACGCACGCACGCACGCACGCACGCACGCAAGAACGCACGCACGCACGCACGCACGCACGCACACACGCACGCACGCACGCACGCACGCACGCACGCTCGCAAGCACGCACACACGCACGCACGCACGCACGCACGCACGCACGCACACACGCACGCACGCACGCACGCACGCACGCATGCTCGCAAGCGCATGCACGCGCTCGCACGCACACGCACACGCACATGCACACGCACACGCACACGCGCGCGCACACACACACACACACACACACACACACACACACACACACACACACACACACACGCACACGCACATACGCACACACACGCGCACATGCACACATCCGTACGGACGTCCACGTGAAATAAGTCAGAATAGCTTCCTGGGATCTCAAAACGTCGAATTCCGATGAAAACTCGATTTTCGAAAATTGTGTTGAAACCAATAGCTTCCCTATTTTTGAAAATTTTTTAATTTTCTTAGCGGCAAGTTAAAAAATAGTTTCAAAACATATCGTACGTTTATTATTTTTATACATAGACGTTAAGTTTGAACACACATAGACATTAAAGTATATATAATTAAAGTATATGTATGTTGTATATGTATTCTTCATATACTCATGGAAAAATTTCGACGAACGTAAAAAAGTGTATATAAAACAAAATACCATGGATATATGTGACAACGTATATTATTATTTTGGGTTTTGCTAATTATTCATCAATTTAAAATTGCTGCAAATGACAAAAATTAATCAAATTAAGAAAGAAAATTATAAAGAAAAATATATTTTTTACATAATATTTCAAAACAATATTTATTTTGTTAATTTATCTTCCAAGCTTATCCCATCCATGCTCTATGGGGTTGAAGTCGGGGCGAGCCCGCTGGCCATCACACAGCATTGATTTCAACGTCTCCAAGGTATTCAACGACTATTGCGCCCCTTTATCATGAATAAAACAAATGGGTCTACTATAAAAGTGGCAAATGACACTACATTTTTTCCGAAATCTCAGTTACATATCGTGCCGCTGTTAATTTTTTTTCTCAATGACGCGGAGTTCCGTACCCATACAAATATCTCCCCATACCATAACTCTCCATACGCCTCTTTTCCAAGTGCTAAACTAATAAACTAATCGTTGATACCAAATTTATGACTTTTTTTAATTTTAAATATTAAGTTTAATTGGACAATAATGACATTTTTCCAATTTTAAAAAATCGTAAATATTTGGAAAATTTAGAAAGTCCGCCAATACACACGTGACTAGCGTAATAGAACCTTATTTGCTAGTAGCCGAAGTTAGAGGCTAAATTCGTAAGCTATTAAAAAAACTAAAATTTCCATCTGGGGCGGTAAATAAAATATTGGAACATATAATTATAAACATTTGTACTTCTTTTATTTACAAAAATACACATTACTAACTATTCAAACTGAGTCGCGTTATTCTATCAGTACCCATAGGGTCCGTTACAATCGCAACCGCAGCCGCATCTTCCGGTGATGGACACCACACCACCAGCAGGAACATCACCTCCGAACCGCACGGCACCAAGGATGGGCACCTGACCTGCGACAAGAGAAGTACCGACGACTGGCATCTCGCCAGTGACCGCTACGTCTCCTATACCAGCGCCGCCATAAGCTGGGCCTGCACCATACACAGCGGGACCAGACAGAGCAGCTGGGCCAGTGAGACCGTATCCAAATCCGTATCCAATGCCAGGATTAAAGCCAGGACCGTACGCTATATCCGCCGCAAGAGCGGCTCCGCAACCGAGCTCATTTTCAGCGATAATAGCCGGAGCATACCCTAAGCCACGTCCGGTGTCCAAACACTGGCAGTATGCATTCTGAAAATATACAATTAAATATATTTTGGGATTAAAATATAATCTGTTCCTGCGATAAAATACAAGTGATCCTCTTTACAATACATTATGCGGAGACTTTACAATCGATGTTTTATAAAACTGAATTTAGCTTTGTATTGTTTATAATAAAATCATACCAGAGCCAATTATTTAAACGAAGAACTTCTTAATGTAATTACCTGAATCAAATACACTTGTGCACAGAACAGGAAAAAGGTAAACGAAGACATTGTTTGTGAGGCGTTTTCTTAGGAGATAAACAATGAATACATTACTTGCATTTAACTGTTGCTTTTATAACAAGTTTAATCATTAAAATTTCATAACGCAGCAAATACGTGGTGCATTAACATGGTATTTCGTACGACTTACAAAATGTAATAGTAAAATTACTTCTTATAATACTTTTCCACTTTCTTAACTGAACTATCCATATCAAACATTGTTAACGTAACACTGTTATTATTATATTATATTAATGATTTTGTATCATAGACATTACTAATATAGGCTTATAGATATATTGTGCAAAATTACTTCAGTAGTCAGGCACCTGACCACCCTATAAACAGGCGGCACGTTAAATTAAAAAAGACAAACAACCTAATCCCTTTCATTCATTCATTATCAGTAGAACAATTTTTATTTTCCTTGACGTAAAGGTACTTGCAATTTTGCTGCCATATTTTTTTAATTTACGAAAATAGAATAAAAAAGGTTTCAATCTGTATATAAACTATTTATCGAAACTAAAAAGATTTTAATCTATAAAGTCGTAAATAATTTAGGATTAGGGTGCTCATCCCTAGATTCAGTTGATATATACAGGTTGGGTAAAAAATCGTGGAACAAATGAAACAGGGCGATAGTTAGTAGTAGTAGTAGTAGATGTTTGCAGTAATAAATATCTCTATGGCAGAGCTCTCACTTGATCTTAAAAGTTATGGCTATTTGTGTATTTTGTAAGAAAATACCAGCATTTGTAATACACAGGCAATCAGAGTAAAATGGGTACCTATTTTAAAGCATTAAATGTTTAGTTGCTTCTAGGAAATGTATCATCATAACAAAATTGCTTTTATGACAGTGGGTGCCATGATTTATGGGAATTTTAACTTTTGTCAATATCTTTTAAGTCTCACGAAAAATTATTTGAATATTTAGAGACTTGCTGTAAAAATGTACTACCAAAAACGACCGTGTATTAAAAAAACTTAGGTATAACACAGCGAAACTATCGTTTTTTGTTCATTTTTTCATAGCACAGCATCTGATTGTAGTGTTTTATTTCACTAAACAACTAACTCAAATCCTTGGCTACGTTTGGTAGTGTTTACAGAAAGATCCCGGCGGTGATGCTTGGTTTTTAACAAATCATAAACAATACTTGCTTACTTAAAACATTCCAATAAATCGAGTCGCTTAAATAGATAAGTTTAGATACCTACTACTTTATCCCACACCAATTTTTTTTCACATCAGCTCTTTATAAAACTATGGTTGTGCACCTATCGGGTGTTAAAATAAAAGTTCAGTAATCCTCTAATTATCACTATATTCACCGACAGAATACACACACATATATTAAATTAAATAAAATCGTATAAATTACACTTTTAGGCTACAATTCCCCCCCCCCCGAACGGGTTCCCGCCTTGTCGTGGCGGGGGGGGGGGTTAGTAGCCGTGGCTTGGTCTCCCACGGTGAACAAAGAGGAACCCACGTTGCTGGCCCGAGGTGAAGGGCCGGCATGAGGTGGCCGCTCCGAGTGGGCTTGGGGAGCCCACTTCGGATGTGTGCTGGTGGACTGCAGCGAGTGAGGACTCGCGCACCCTCTACCGCTGCAGCCAAGGTGGAGTCGCGGAGGAAGAGGAGTGTTGGTATGACGACGCGCCACTCGCCCTCTCCTTCGCGACTCAAACGGGGCCGCACCGTTGATGCGGTGGTGGTGGGGCTGCGGGGGGAGAGGATTGTCGGTATTGCGAGGCGCCGCTCTCCCTACCCTCCGCAGCCGAATCTTGGTTGGCGGCGGAGCCATAGACCAGATCCGCCGCTGGGGTCGGGAAGGCTAGTACTTCTAAGTGCTCGTTTTTCCTGGCCCCATGGCCCTTGTGCATCGGACGCGGGGGCGTCTGTTGCACAGACGTAGTTGGAGGCCGTGGAGGAAGGCGCGCCATGTGTTCTGGTGCGCCTTACCTGGGAAGGAGAACGGGGAGGAATTTTCCTCTCCCGAGGAGGTGCTGCCATGGGGCGGCAGGCGCTAGTAGGGCCGCGGATGTGTGCGAAAGCGTTCCCGTAGCCCTGCCAATATGCGACAAAGGTGGAACACCATGGGGTTTTAGTCGGTGCGAGTCCGACATAATCCGTCCTTGCCCCCACGAGGCGGGTATGCGTAGGCATTTCCCCATGCAAAAAAAAAGGCTACAATTTACAAAACGAGAATAATGGAATTGAAATTATATTTTGGTTATTTAAATTTATAAAGGCGAGTGTTACACAAGCGCGAAAGCAGATTGCAAGCAAAATCGGACGTGCATTCGCTGTGGAAACTCTGTACACAAAAAGTACACTGTGCTGCCAGTAGTGTTGCCAATATTTAAATCTAGCTCCCGTTGTAGAGAGCACTATAATCCCGTCAAATCCCGTCAAGTACTGTAGACAAATGTCAATCATTCATTTCTAGTGACCGAATCATTCTAGTACATTTCGTCACGCGTACTGGTGCATTCGTATCGATCATTCAAATGGGTCACTTCGGGCTCCAGTAGGTACTCTATTGAGTCTGTGAGATCCATTAGGAACCGAACATTTTCTATTTGAGATTTGTAATAGCACGATCTACTACATGCTATAGGTAATAAAGTTTGTGCCGGACGGGCGAAACTCTCCGGAGTAAATGTTGTCGAAAATACTTCGCGAGTCGCTCACGTCCTACACCTATAGGTTCCGGTGGGTACTCTCACCGCCGTGTTTGTTGGTGCCGCTGAAATATTGTGGACTGTAGTTAAAATCAAAATGCACGATTAACAAATACAAATAGCAAGGTAGTGGCCAGCGGCTCGACTGATTGATTAGTCGCGAAATTTTATAACTATTTATCACGGTTGTTAAACTACGGTTGTTCACTGTATATTTCAAAAGATTTCTTTAAATTGTACGGTGGTATCAAATATCTATTGGTAGTAGCTGGTTTTCTAACACTACTGACTAGCAGCTATTATCAACTAAACTAGCTGATTTTATCACTTGTGTAACTGCGGATATCAGTTACCACTTTCACTATATGTAACTGCGAATATCAGTTACGACCTTTTTCGGCTAGCTAACACTTTCACTATGTGTAACTGCGAATGTCAGTTACGACCTTTTTAGGCTAGCTAACACGTTCACTATATGTAACTGCGAATATCAGTTACGACCTTTTTAGGCTAGGTAACACTTTCACTATGTGTAACTGCGAATGTCAGTTACGACCTTTTTCGGCTAGCTAACACTTTCACTATTCACTATATACTGCTACTAGTCACTTCAGCTACCACCGGATACCACTCACTTCACTTCACTTGTCACTGGTAGTTCTTCACACTACTACGGGTACTGGGTCCCGAGCCCCTAAGGTAGACTTTAGCAATACTTTACAGTGAGCCGCTTGCCATTTTCCGTTTTGCCTCTTTATTGCATAAACATTTCACTATACAAATGGCATAAATTGCAATATTCTCTATACAAAACTAATTGCTACACTAACATGCTATACATCATTAAATCGGTAGTCTGGTACTTTATTAGTATATCATAAAGGTTACTAAAAACATTAACATTGTAAAAAGTTATTAAACGAAATGTGCCAAATTTTCATAATATTTGGGTATTTTAATTCTTTAATTTTTATATAATTATCAAATGCGTTTAATTATACAGAATATTCCTACACTTCTTTAATCTATAAGCCTTATGCTAATTCAATATCATATTTACAACTCTTTTAGAACATAAAATTATTTTCATTATTTTTAGTATGATCTATTACGCAGTTAATTAAAAAACTTCTAGAGAGTTCTACGACAAGACGCGCTGTGATTGGTCGATTTTTTTGGTATATAATAAAAGTTGTTTATATTACTTGTTATCAAAACGACATTCTATACAAACATATTGAGAGTTATAAATATGCTAAATAACTATATTAATACACGTTTTTACTCAGTTTTCTTGGTAATTTCACTATTAATACATAAAACAATATTCTTTATCATTTTGTTTCTTAAGGTTGTTAGGCCGTCGCGAACATTTCTCCCGCCGTGCAGCGTCGCGACGATTTTCTCACAGCGGCGCTGCATCCATTTCGGTGAGCGACGTTGCTTCTACTTCGGCAGCGGCACGAGTTTCCTGGTTGGCCTCTTGATTAGGCCGTTTGCTGTGCGTTCCTCCACAGTGCGGATCTGTCCGTCCGCACCGGGGTAAACAGCTTCCACCCTCCCCTCGTGGCCAGGTGTTACGAGGTACCTGGCCGTCAGCTATGAGGACTGGATCGCCCACCTGGAGATTGGGACCTCGCCCATGGGCCTCCCGCCGGTTTTGAAGTTCCGGTAAATACTCTCGGACCCAACGCTGCCAGAACATGTCAGCGAGTATCTGGGAGCGTCGCCAGTGTCTTTGGCTATTCATATCTTTTTCATCAAATACTCCAGGTGTCGGCAGTCTCGCAGATCCTCCTAAAAGGAAGTGATTAGGAGGGATGGCTTCGTCGTCGTTGCTGTCTACAGAGATGTGAGTCAATGGTCTGCTATTTACTGTGTACTCCACCTCGCAGAGCAGCGTGGCTAATACTTCCTCATGCGGATGTCTCTCATGAAGGACGGTGTATAGTGCCGTCTTCACGCATCGTATGAGACGTTCCCGCTTGGTTGGTGTTTTGTGCAGCAAATTGATAGGAAGACGTCGGGCGAGCTTTAGGTTGAAGCTCAGCTGATCGGTACCCGGTTTCCAGATTAATCCGAGTATCTTTTCCTCGGTTCCTTTGTTTCCCAGATCGACTGACTCAGATGCTTCATGGTCAGGTTCTAATTCTTTTACAACTTCTGGTGCGTTGGAAACCCATTTTCTTAAGGTGAAGTGCGCGTTTTTGTGTATGTTGCGTACTTCCTTTGATATTCGCATTGCCTCTTCCAGAGACTGGAAACTGTCGAGATAGTCATCCATATAGTGGTTTTGAATGATAGCTTCTACA